TGAATATCAATTAAAAAAAAAAAAAACTCATTTGAAAATTGGATATCTCATATCTAATTATCAAGAGAGAAGATTGTAAAACACTAAATATGTAATGAAACATCAAAGTAAAACATGATATCTTGTATGAATGTTATTGTTAAACGATATAATTATTATTAACGAATCATAATTTCGTATAGAAAATATACATTTTTATCGTAAAATATTATGCTTTGGTTTATGTATTATATTACATAAAGTATCACATTTAAATGTAATATCTACATATTTGTTAGCAGAATATAGATGTCTATCAATTAGCTGATTAACAAAATAGCTATGGATTGAATTAGCAATATTCAACGTGGGTGAGAAAAATTGCAATCTTTTTAAAGATATAAAACCAATATTTAGCAAATTTCATTAACAATGACGTCACCTGTAATTTTTGAAAATTTCAAAAATCAAAACATAATCATCACAAATTAAAAAACAAAAGTTGGCTCAAAAAACTCTTATCATTACTAATACCTTCTTACAATTAATTATAACTAGTACAATAGCCGTGTACAACACGAGTGTTGAGTTAAGAAATATATATGATAAAAGTTATTTATGTCTAATACGAAACCTAAATTCAGAGCAAAAATAACATAAAAACAACATCACGAAGCATAGATTGTCGTCATGTCAGCATCCGAAACGTGAGAATCTGTCACTTAAGCTAAACACGTTTTGAATTAATATATAGAGAGAGATAATTTTGCAATTTTTGGGTCAACACTAACAAATCTTTCTATTATTATTATTATTATTTTTTTTCTTGTACTGTTTGTAGAATAGATTTTCATAGACATTGACAAATTTGAGAGGAAATTAAGTGGTGCATGACAATTATATATGTATGAGCCTATTTTTTCCCTTTTTTGTTTTTTCTTTTCTTTGTTTTTTTTAAGGTTGAAATTTTCAAAAGCAAATATTAAGGTAATCGGCCGTGGTCCATTTATAATTATAATAAATTAATTTGCTGGGGGCATGCATCACCCACATGCAAATGTCCCTAACAAAAAACCTTGTGTTATTGCAAATAAATTATTGTCAAACTAATAATATATATATATATATATATAGGTCCACTCTAATGTGCTTATCCAATTTGGGACTTTTAATCACATTTTTCTACATGAATCAAATTATGAATATCCCTCCCTATATCTTAATTCAAAGCGTGTTGAGTCTAAGTGACAGATTCTCACGCTTCGGATGTTGACATAGTGAAAATATATGCTTCGTGATGTTGTTTTTATATTAATTTTGCTCTGGAGTTAGGTTTGATGTTAACATAAATAACTTTCATCATATATTTTTTAACTCAGCACCCGTATTGTACACGGGTATTGTACTAGTTATAATTAATTTAAAATATTTAAATAGTGGCCCAATGGTTACAATATATATATATATATCCTCACACTGATTATTTCTCTATCAATAGTTTTATAAACTTGAAAAAAAAAATCTCTATAAATGCAGAGTTTTTCTGTCTTATGAGTTAACTTAATTTGTTAATTTTAATGTTTCATAATTTCATATTATAATTTTTAGTGGTTCAAAATAGTTATAATATAATGTGTGACCAAAAGTACCTTTTTTTTTTGCAATTTTTAGTTCATTTAGAAATAAATAAATAATTTAGTAAATTAACACCTAACGCTTAAAAATTGAGGGTGTGGGCCAGATAAATGGAGCAGGTAAGTTTTTGAGTCAATATTCAGTATCCATAATACATGTTGTACGTATCAGAGTACAATCAGTCATAGCCAGCAATATTTGATTCTCTTACAGGGTGTTCAAATACTTGTCCATTTATTTATTCTTAATTTATGTTTTAACATAGTTATTATTGCTTTTTAAAATAACAATTCTTTTACTTAGGCTAAGAAATTTAATTGAAAAGCATCATCAAACTAACAATGATTTTATATTATTAGAGTTTGACAAGACTTATGAACTGTTCCTCTATTAAAAGAAAAAATAAATAAATTAATTACATGCTTTCTTCATAACTCTACTCATTATGTTGGTAAATGAAGATTACATTATTATTATTAATATTTTACATTCATAACCTTAGAAATTACTAGCAAAATCATTACAAACTAGAGCAATAATGTTGTTGTTAGTGGAAACTTATAACAACTATAAATGTAGTATATATATATATATA